CTCCGATCTGCCCCCCCAGGCTCCATAGGCCTGGCAGGGGGTTCGGAGTTCTGGGCCAGTGGGTCCGTTGGCCGTGAAGAGCGATCGCCCAGCCAGTCTTCTGCGCAAATCACGCCCCTCTCCATGATGTGGTGAACATGCTTCGTGTCAAGCGGCTCAGCGCAGAGACGCGAGGGACCGTGAGGTTCATTCTCTCAATCACTGTTTCATTCATCTTCTGTCTCTCTCTCTCTCTGTCTCCGTCTCTCTTTCTCTCTCTGCCCCCTCCCTTCTCCTGTCCTTCACCCGCCTCCCTCTCCGGGCCGGCGTATCTGAACGACTGCCACATGCTGCCGCAGGCCGCCTACGTGTACGGCTGGAACCCGGACAGTGGAGAGGTGGATCGGGGGCTGCGGAGCTGCCACAGGCAGCTGCGCTTCGAAAGCATGCACGCCGACTTTTCCCGGCTGATGGAGGAGAGGGGCTACCCCTACAGGCTGGCCGTGATCGAGCAAGAGGGGAAAAACACACAGACACAATTAATCGTCGATCCCCAAGAAAAGATGGGAAAATATGGGAATCGGGTGGGAAGACGAAAACCCAGAAAATATGGGAAGATACGGGGAATCTTGTTATTTGTGTGTATTTATTTGTGTGTCCCTGGGCCCCTTCACAAGCCCAGGACGAGGACGGACGGCTCCGGAGCGTTCTGGGGCGCTCTCGGTACGCTCTCGAGCGCTCTGGAGCGGCCGCAGCGAGCGATGTGCCCTCCGCGTCCACCGGCTCCCTCGGGGATCCCGAGTCCTCTTTGCCCAGTTGTGTCTCCGCCCTGCTTTCGCCGTGACAGGGAGCAGGAGGAGGAGAAGGTGGAGGAGGAGGAGGTGGAGGAGGTGGAGGAGGAGGAGGAATATGAGGAAACAGAGGAGGAATAGGAGGAAACAAAGGAGGAGGAGGAGGAGGAGGAGGAAGAGAGGAGAGAATAGGAAGAAGGAAGGGAAGGAGGAGGAGGACGGAGGAGGAGAGGAGGAGAAGGAGGAGGAGGAGGAGGGGAGAAGGAGCAGAAGGAGAGGTCTTCGTATTAATATGAAGGAGGTGAGGAGGAGGAGGAGGAGAGGAGGAGGAGGAGGAGGAGGAGGAGGCGGAGGAGGAGGAGGAGGAGGAGGAGGAGGAGGAGGAGGAGGAGCGAGCAGTTGGAGAGGGCCAACCCACACAGGCTGGCCACGAGCAAGTTCCAGAAGTCGAACGACGCTTGCGGCCGCCTGGGCAAGGCGGACCTGTGGCCCAGCACGCAGGAGCTGGTCCAGGAGCTGTACCGCATGGACTTTGAGCTCCTGAACTATTCCCTCTGAGCTTCCACCTTGTGGATGGACCAAGTGCAGTGCAACCGCATGGTAAGGATGGGCAACCTTCCCAAGGGTACCCTTGCATCCTTGCCTCCTCGGTCCATCCTCGACCACTTCTGTTGGTTGCGCACCCCCCCAGAGAATTCCGAAATGGCCTTCCAAGGCCCTTGCATCCGTTTCGCGCATGCTTACTGTACGGGCCGACTGTAGCCGATGAGCTCATTCAGGGCCGTAATCCTCATCTCCAACTCCTTATTCGAGGGGCTCACGCCATTCCACCGACCCCCACAAAAAAGAGAGAGAGAGAGAGCAAGAGATCTACGCTGGTCGCAAGCTCAGGTGGAGCTGTTGTGGCTGCTTTCTCCGTGGGTCCGAGCGCCACGGAGCTTTTATGATTGGGTCGTCCTTTACGTGCAGTGAGGCGTCAAGTCAAGCCAGGCGCCCAAACGGCGCATAGGCATCTGTGAGGTGCGGGACGAGAAAATGTCAACCGGTCTTCGGCCTATCCCGCCACAGTGCTTAGGTCGTGGGCAGGAGGCATCTGAGAGGCCTCTTCCCAGACACCCGGCCTCTCCAATTCTTTCGATGCGTGGGCCCCGGAGGTCTGGACCACACCTCCCCAGAGCCGGCTTTTCGCCCCGAGCCGTTTGTTGGCGGTCCCCAGCCCGGCGAGGGCCCCCAGAGGCCGAAAACTGCCCGAAACCCGCTGCTCCCCAGCCGTTGTCGGAGCGTCGGACCTCTGGGTCGGGCAGCCCTCGGAGGGCCCCTCTGGGGAGCCGTCGGGGGGCCTCTGGGCGGCTTCTTCGTGGGGCGCTCTGGGGGCCTCCTCGGAGCCTCGGGCGGTCTGGGGCGTCTCTTTGGGGGGCTCGTGGGCCGTCTCGGGCGGTGGAGGGCTCCCGGGGTCTTTTGGAACTCCCCTTTCCCAGCGTTCTGTCGGGCATGTCCCTCTGCGGGAGGGATATCAAAAGATATTGAAAACACATTGTCTAGGGACGATGTTTCTGTTGTTTGTGAGTGTTTGTAAAGTTGTGGTTCCTCCTCCCTTCTCCATTCCCTCTCTTGCCTCCTCCCTCTTTCTTTTTTTTTCTCTTTTTTTTTTTTCTCTCTCTCTCTCTCTCTCCTCTCTCTCTCTCTCTTTCTCTACCTCTCTTATCTGTTTTTGTTGTTGTTCTCTCTCTCTCTCTCTTTCTCTCCCTGCCTCTAATCAACCGCCCCCCTCTTCGCTCCTTCTGTCCTGGCGTTTTCCCTCTTCCTTCGTCCCTTCACCTCCCTTCCTCCCACTCTCCCTCGTTCTCCCCCTCTTCATTTTTCAGGGCCCACACCAATTTCAATGGCGGGCACATGTACGCCCACGAAGGATTGCCCGCCCGGTCAGGTTTGCCCGCCTGTCCAAGCCCGCCGCCCCCCGCAAAGAGAAAGAATCCCCCCAAGGGGGTGTGATCGAAGACAAAAAGGGCGGGTATCGAGGGTGTCAGGAACCCGTTTTGAATGACGCACGGGCAAGTACGAGGGAACAGTCTTAGAATGATTGTTGTTGTTGCTGTTGTTGTTGCACTTTCACTTCTGAAGAATAATTATTGTTGAGCCCCCCTCGCCGGTGCATGTTGTTTTTTCTCAGTCACAGTGTGCTCCTCGACGCTCGCACCCTGTTTTTGGACAGGGAAAGTCTTGATGCTCAAACTGTACCCCTGGCCCCCCGGACCACAACAACAACGGCTCCCGCCTGAGATTTCCTCCAAGTTTGCTCAGGACCCCCCCCCTCCCGTCTGAGACGCCCTCCCAATTTACTCAGGAACGGCGCTCCGGCTCTCCCGCTTGAGATTTCCTGACAATTTAATCTAAGTCAAACTGCATTGTTGCTCCCCCGGACTACAACAACAACGGCTCCCGCTTGAGACTTCCTCCAACTTTAGTCAGGACCCCGCTCCCGCCTAAGACTTCCTCCCAATTTACGCAGGATCGGCGCTTCCGCCCGTGACCTCCTTGCAATTTAGTCAGGACTTCCCCATCCCGCTTGAGGCTTCCTTGCAATTTATTCAAGAACGGCGCTCCCACTTAAGATTTCCTTGCGTTTCAGTCTAGACCCCCGCTCCCGCCAAGCATCCCCTTTTCAGGAATTGCGTTCTCGCCTATGACCTTGTCGCAGTTGATTCAGAAATCGGGCACCACATTCGCTTGCAACACCTCGCCGTTCAGCACCAGAGGTGTTACATGGCGCCGTTTATTACGCGACCCATGGCGAAGCCTTTGTTAACCTGTGTTGGAATGGTTGGCGCAAGCCATGGCGCAAGCTGAATCGCAACTTGCGGCACAAATCATCGTCGTCCGTCCCTCTTGCCCCCCTAATCCCTCCCTCCCTCCGATCCCTTCGACTTCCTTTTTTGTTTATTTTCCCTTTCGTTTCCCTGTTTGGGGGGCTTCTTCAGTTACGCGTGACCAGGAAGGAATATAACCCCCCAACAGGGGGTACGATCGAAGACGCAGAGGGCGGGTATCCAGGGTTTGGAATATGCATTGTGAATGACACGCGGGCCGGTAGGAGCGAACAGTATTGGAATGATTGTTGTTGTTGTTGTTGTTGTTGTTGTTGTTGTTGTTGTTGTTGTTGTTATTGTTGATGTTGATGTTGATGTTGTTGTTGTTGTTGTTGTTGTTGTTGTTGTTGTTGTTGTTGTTGTTGTTGTTGTTGTTGTTGTTGTTGTTGTTGTTGGTGGTGTTGGTGTTGGTGTTGGTGTTGTTGTTGTTGGCGATTTTTCGTTTGCCGTCCAAACTGGCATGCAGGAGGACACCCGACCGAACCGCAGTGATCCGACGCCCCAGAGAAATTTGAGCTGCGGGTTTGGGATCGTTTTCGGCCTCCGGTGGCCGTCGCCAAGCTTCGGGACCGTCCACAAACGATCCAGGGCGAAAAGCCGGCCCTGTGGAAGTGGTCCAATTTCGGGAGCCTCGAGACGGGGGTCAGTGCAGACGGGGGTCAGCCAGGGCGCCGGGTCCTGCAGGATCCTGCGAAGACCCCCTCTGGCTGACCCGGGTTAGCGAGCCGCTCGTGGCCGCGAGGCGGCCGCGCCTATTGGCTGACCCCGGTTTGCGAAGACCTGCGTTGTAGTTGTTTTTTTCCTGCATTGCAGTTTTTGGTTTCCTGCTGACCCGGGGCTGGATTGACCCGGGTCAGAAGATCCCCGACGGACCTCTGGGGCCCACGCAGCGAAAGAATTGGAGCGGCCGGGTGTTTGGGTCGCAGGCCTTTCTCTCGGGGGTCTGGGGCATTTTGCAGGGGCTCTCCTGGGGGCCTCAGGGCGGATCTTGGGGGCATCTTGGTCCGCCTGGCACGCCCTCAGGATCAGCAGGCCGAGCATGCGGAGATCATAGAATGCGTCTGTGCTTCCGACGTGGCGTCGGCCTCCCAGGGCCAGTCTCCGGGCCTTCCCAAGACGTCTCCAGAGGCTCGAGGCTCCCAGCAGTGCCCTATTCTATTGCCTCCGGCGGCAGTTCGGGTGATGACCCAGGAAGGGTCTAAATGGCCTGGCAGGAGATCTCAGGCTTGGCAGGAGAACTCCAGCTTGGGAGCTCACTCCAGGGGGCCGCGCCATCCGGTGCGAGGCTCGGGAGGCTCTGGGGGCCCGGAGGGGTCCTTGACGAGCTCGCAGGGAGTCTCTCTCCCCTCCGACGGCGCTCTGGGCCCCTGTCACACGACGCGAAGATCGGGACAAAATCGGATCGGGATAACTCGAAATCTCTGAGAATCGGCGGGTCTGGAGGGTGTATTGGGCGCCGCGGCCGCTCCAGAGCGTTCCAGAACGCTCTGAGAGCGCTCCGGAACGCTCTGGAGCGATTTGTCCCGATCCTGGCCCTGTTTTACCCTGGGGAGGGGGGGCGGGAGGCGGTCGGGCGGGTGGGGATGGGGGGTGGCCGAAACGGGGGGCGACGGGCAGGGTCCCCCGGGGGCACTGCAGGGCCTCCTTCTGGGGCCGGCAGGGCCCCCCCAGGAAGGGGCCCCAAAGTGCCCCTGCACAGTGGGGGTCTTGAGGAAGGAGCCCTTTTCGTTGGGGAGGGGCCCACAGGGGCACTGCAGGGCCTCTTTTGGAGCCGGCAGGGGCTCCCAGAAGGGGGGCCCAAAGTGCCCCCGTTATGGGCCCTTTGCTCCCCCCCCCCCCATTTATCAGGAGGGGAAAAAACACCCAGACACAACTGATCGTCGATTCCTCAGAAAATATAGGAAAATATGGGAAGTGGGGGGGAAGGCAGAAACCCAGAAAATATGGGAAAATACGGTGTATTTTTGTTTGTGTGTATTTATTTGTGTGTCCTGGGGCCCCTTCAATTTAGGCCACCTCCCACTACCACCCGCCCGAGAGGAGCCTCTCCCATCTGACAGGACTCTGGTCCCCTGGGGAGGGGGAAAAGGAAATGGGGGATAGACAAGCATCGCAGGCCTAGAGGTTGACACCAACACCAAGATCGGCGGTGTGCCTCCAACGAGGGAAGACTATCCCGATCTCGGTGATGGTGGTAATGTTCTGGCTTCCGAGGTGACCGAAAGATTGCCACCAGCACCGAAATCCAGGACCATCTTCCCCATGTGGAGGCAACCCCCTGTGTTGGTGTTGGTGCCCATTTCTAGTCCACCCGCCCAGGAGGAGGAGGAGGAGGAGGAGGAGGAGGAGCCTCTCCCCTCTGACAGGACTCTGGTCCCCTGGGGAGGGGGGAAAAATTGAGACGGGGGATAGACAAGCATATCCAGGTGCACGCCGCTTCGCCCCTGGCGAGCAGGGGATTGGCGGCTACGAGGCAGTGACTGCCTCAACGCGCTCTCCCGCCGCCTTGGCGTCGCCGCGCCGCGGCGCGGCTCCACCGGCACAGTCTGCGCGCGCCGGCGGCCCGCAAAGAGTCTTTTCGGGCCAAATCTCTCGCCGCCGCAGCCGTCCCAGCCGTTTCCATGGCGAGTGTGTGGCCATCTCGGTGCGAGGAAGGGCGAGGTGGCAACTGCTGCGATGGCGAAGACGACAGGTCTTTCGGGCCGATCTCTCGCCGCCGCAGCAGTCTCGGCCGTTTCCATGATGAACGTGGCCATCCTGAGGCGAGGAAGGATGAGATGGCAACTTCTGCGATGACGAAGACGACAGGTCTTTCGGGTCAATCTCTCGCCGCCGCAGCAGTCTCAGCCGTTTCCATGATGAGTGTGGCCATCCTGAGGCGAGGAAGGACGAGATGGCAACTGCTGCGATGGCGAAGACGACAGGTCTTTCGGGCCGATCTCTCGCCGCCGCAGCAGTCTCGGCCGCTTCCATGATGGATGTGGCCATCCTGAGGCGAGGAAGGATGAGATGGCAGCTGCTGCGATGGCGACGACGATGATTAGGGGAGGTCGCGCTGCCCTCAGAAGGGGACTGGACCAAGGATGCAGTACAGTCAAGGCGCTGAACTAATGAGCAGCTCGGATTCGGAGTGTGCTGGCGGTTCCCTCGTTCCTCCCATGGCTGTTCCCCCAGCGCTCCTCTTGCATCCAGGCGTCTTGGGATTTCTAGGCGGGCTTCGTTCCTTACCTAGCGTCCCTTGGGGCAGTAGCTCGACCATACCTCACAAGGCCGCCCACGCGTCCGTGGCTCTTCAGCCTACAGTCGGGTCGCTGAAGAAGGAACCCTTTTCGTTGGGGAGGGGCTCCGTGTTCCTTGATTGTTTCGCAGCTTGCCTCAGGTTTTCCTTACGTCTTCGATGGGAGGTCGAAGTTTAACCCATGGAAAAAGGGCGCCTCGTTCCTTATTTGGGGCTCCTTGGGTCAACGCCCCGACTGCATCCTTCAGCGCGGACCTCTGAGAGCCCTGCCTCCTGCCCTGCACCCCGCCGCGAGCCCGGACGGCAGCCGGAGCGGCGCGCGGCACATCCCCAGACCGCCGGCGGCCTGCTTTCTCACGGCGTGGGCCCCGGGAGGAGGAGGTGGAGGAGGATGAGGGGAGAGGGAGGAGAGGAGGAGGAGAGGAGGAGGAGGAGGGGGAGGAGGGGGAGGGGGAGGGGGGAGGAGAGGAGGAGGAGGAGGAGGATGAGGAGGAGAGGAGGAGGAGCAGGAGGAGGAGGAGGAGAATAGCAGGAGGGGGAGGAGGGTGAGAGGAGAGGAGAGAGGAGGAGAGTAGGAGGCTAACGCAGGAGGAGGAGTAGTAGGGGAGGAGGAGGAGGAGGCGGAGGAGGAGGCGGAGAGGGCGGAGAAGAGGAGGTGGACGAATAGGAAGGGAGGAGGAGGGAGGAGGGGGAGTAGGAGGATGATGAGGATGAGGCGGGAGGAGGAGAGGAGCGAGGAGTTGGAGATGAGGAGGAGGAAGAGGAGGAGGAGGAGGGAGGAGAGGAGGAGGAGGAGGAGGAGGAGGAGGGGGGGAGGCGGAGGAGGAGGAGGAGGAGGAGGAGGAGGCGGAGGAGGAGGAGGAGGAGGAGGAGTTGGAGGAGGAGGAGGAGGAGGAGGAGGAGGAGGAGGAGGAAGTGGAGGAGGAGGAGGAAGTGCAGGAGGAGGAGGACGACGACGACCAGTGTAAGCCCAAGAATCATCAACGATGTTGGAATCAACCCTCCCTCCAAGCTCCCTCTTCATAGGCCCCTACAGCGGTTCATGTCCACTGAGGGAACGGCCTTGTTGGAAGACAACCGCTTGAAGACCCTGAAGCATGCCAAATCATTCTTCTCGGGATTTCAACGCCACGGATCAATCTGACTGTTGCGTCTTGACGATCCGGAATCGTGCCATAATCAAATTTTGGGGACTTCAACACCGCGAATCAACACAACTGTTGCACCCGCATCATCCTGAATCCTTCCACAACACAATTTCCGGTACGCTGATCAAGGGAATCAGTGAAACTTTTTGAAATGTTAAAGATGTTTACAACGAATGCGCGCGGCGCTAAGGCGAGAGCCACATGTTGAAGACCACCCGCCCTCAATTCGTGAAATTGTTGCCACTTTTTAAGCTTCGCAGTGTTAATTGGTGAGGAAGTCTCAGGCGAGACGCCCGGCCCGCCCTAATAACTGGCCTCGGGGTGCGACAGGGAGGAATTATTCATAAGGGAAAGGAATGGAGGAGGAGGAGGAGGAGGAGGAGGAGGAGGAGGAGGAGGAGGAGGAGGACGAGGAGAGAGGAGGAGGAGGAGAGAGGAGGAGGAGAGAGGAGGAGGAGGAGGAGGAGGAGGAGGAGGAGGAGGAGGAGGAGGGAGAAGGAAAGGAGGAGGAGGAGGAGGAGTTGGAGGAAGAGGAAGAGGAAGAGGAGAAGGAGGAGGAGGAGGAGAAGGGGGAGGAGGAGGAGGAGGGGGAGGAGGAGGAGGAGGAGGAGGAGGAGGACGACGACGAGAATGACGAAGAAGACCGTTACGACGAGGATGACGACGACGACGACGAAGACGATTACGACTACGACTGCGACGTCGCCGAGGCCGAGTGCGACTACGACGACAACGAGGAGGAGGAGCAGCAGCAGCAACAGCAAGCGGCGAGCAGCGAGCAGCCAGCAGCGAGCGATCGGCAGGAGGGCGCCCGAGCTAACGAAGACCCACCGAGCGTGGGACCTCAGGAGGCCGCAGGGGCGGCGGAAGGGCACCGCCGGGGAGAAAGGCGGGGCGGGCCTGCGGGAAAGCCGCGCGCTGAAAGCCCCGAGGCCTCCAGGCGGGGCTGGTTACCGGAGCTGATTACGGGGCCCAGGAAGCCGTTGCGAAGCTGGCCATCCAGGTTATGAAAGTGACGCGGGCAGCATATTCCCAGGGAATTGCTGCAGGCTTGACGTCGGCTTTGCTGACTTCGAGCCGTTGTCCCTGTGCGAGGTGCTGAACGCAAGCATCATGACCAGGTTCGAACCTACGATCGGTTGTTCCTGAAGTACATCGTTTCTTCTTATCTAGGGGCCCAGGTGAAGGAAGCCATCGTTTAAGGAAGCTGTGCCAGTTTCGAGGCTTCTTGAAACAAGCCTGGGCCAACGCGTGCTCCGTTGACGCCGGAGCGGCGAACGAGCTCCAGAAGCTGGGCCAGCTGTCCGGCGAGCTGGTCAAGACACGGGGTGGCCCAGCTTGTATGGAGGAGGCCTCTTGAGCAAGTGCTCGACTGCAGTATGTTGGGCCTGCCAATCCAAGGGCGCCCTCGTGTCCTGTGCATCGCGCATCGCGCCCTCGGCCACGGCGCGCCGCTGGGGGGCAGGTCGCGGCCCTGGCCAGTGGCTCGCGCGCTGGCCCTCTGGGGAGGACCGGCGGAGGGCCCGTGGAGGGCTCCTCCGCGGCTCCGCTCGGGGCTCTCCTGGGGGCCCACCTGGGAGGCGCCCCGTTGCGGCACAGGACGCGATTTGGAAGCGACGTTGGTCGAGCAAGTTGCTACGGACGGGCCTGGAGCTGGTGCTTGGGAGAGGCAGAGGAGGGGGGGAAAGGAAGGGGGAGGATTATGATGAGGAGGTGGAGGGTTATGATGAGGATGGGGAAAGAGGAGGATTATGATGAGGAGGTGCAGGGGGAGAGGCGCCAAGGCACGGCTCTCGGTGGCGGCGCTGCCAGGTATTCCATAGAGCCTCTCAGGGAGCACCCCGAGCTGATGCTGGAGCTGCTGAACCGCGTGCACTGACTAGGTGCTGGCGCTTGATTTGTGAACCGCGGCCTGACTACCGCGATCCCATTTGAACGTCCTCTCTCCTCGCCCTCGCCTTTCTCCTCACCCTCCCTGTCTCTCCCTCTCTCTCTCTCCCTCTCTCTCTCTCTCGCCCTCTTTCTCCCCCTCTCCCCCCCTCTCCCCCTCTCTCTCGCCCTCTTTCTCCCCCCTCTCTCTTCATGCATGTTTGTATGTATACATGTAGCGCATCTTATATCTTATTATCAGATATGTATAACAGAATATATAGGTATATGCTGTTTGTCTCACTCTCTCGCTCTTCCCCCTCTTAACTTCCCCCCTTCCCCCCCCCCTCACTCGCCCGCCGCTCCCGCGCGGAGAGGGCCGTCGTCTGGTGGCCGCTCCCCCGCTTGGGGCGCCGCCCACGTCCCCCCCCCCCCCCTCGGGGAGGCCGGGAGGGGGGGGCGGAGAGGGGGCGGACTGGGGCAGAGAGGGAGCGAAGCGCGGGAAGCAAGCTGGTGGGACAATCGCGCCATATCTGAAGAACCTCCTCCTTATGTCTACTCTCCTGCCTCCTCCTCCTCCTCCTCTCGCCCGCCGCTCCCGCCACCTCCCTCCCTCCTCCCTCCTCCTCCTCCTCCCTCCTCCTCCTACTCTCCTTCCCTCCTCCTCCTCCCCGCCTCCTCCTCCTCCTCCTCCTCCTCCTCCTTCCTCCTCCCCTACCTCTCCTACAACTTCACTCACCCTCCTCCCCCCCCTTCTCCCCGCCTCCTAACCTCCTCCTCCCTCTCCTCCCCTCTCCTAGAATGTCCTCCGTCCTGCCGCTCGGCCAGTGCAAGTATTCCTCTTGTCCGTCACTACCTCCCCTCCTCCTCCTCCTCCTCCTCCTCCTCCTTCTCTTCCTCCTCCTCCTCCTCCTCCTCCTCCTCCTCCTTTTCCTCCTCCTCCTCCTCCCTCGGGCGCCGGAGACGGGGGTCAATGCAAGCGGGGGTCAGCCAGAGCGCCGGATCATGCAGGAACCTGCAGAGCTAGGGTCGCACTGGCCCGGGCTTGGGTGCAGGCTCCTGCGTGATCCTGCAGGATCTTGCAGGGCCCTGCAAAGCATGACTGACCTGGGTTTGGATTGACTCGGGTCAAGAGATCCCCGATTTGAGAAGGCCCGCCCCTTCTCAATTTCCCCCCGGGCTCGCCGCCGACCTTCCCATGGCGCCAATTTTGCCCTAGCCGCCGACGCGCGGGTGGACGAGGGCGAGGAGGGAGCGAGGCTGGGGGAGGCGAGGCAGGGAGAGTGGTGACAAAGCGCGGCGCGGAGGTCGGGGAAACCAGGGGCGCGAAGATCGTCGCGCTTCGCACATCGCGGCTTGGATTGGAGCGCGCCCTTCTCTCCAGGGTGGCCTCGCGAGGGCGGGAAGGCAGCCGC